CAGATTTTATCTACAGGTTCACTTGCAATTGTATATTATATATATATATATATATATATATATATATATATATATATATAACCAAAAAAATGTTTCAATGTTATTAGGACGAGCATTTTCTCAAGAACATGGGGTTATTAAGTTTCACAGAAAAATTCAAATGTACTTAATCTGAACATAAGTCCAGTACCATTCATCGCGAAACGTTTATTAATGTCTAGTCACGAAATCAAAAATTAATGACTGTTTCTCAATTATTTTACATAATTCTAATTCAAAGTTAGTAAGAGTGATGCAATTCCTTCGTACTAATCACATGCATCCCAGATTGTTTGTACAAAAAAAAATACATTTCAAACTCTGCCCAAGACGGACGAATCGACCTATTCAGTATGATCGGCTGTTAGTTAATATGTCCTTCTCTTTCATATAACCAATTAGTTGTCCAGCATGAAGTAAGGTGCGCATTTTTTCCTACTTAAAACTGGTCATTTAGATGTACCAGCATTAACAAAGGCCGAACATTTCGTCTCAATAAGTCAACGGGAAAATCAGAACTGAATGTAAAAATAAATAATAATAACTAACACCCGTTGCACAAGAGATGGCCCTCGGGGTGCTAAGTGGCCTAGTGGATAACACTGTGGCGACGGGTACTGGGATGTGGTCACACTATGTCGTGAATTGGCAGAAGTTAGAATTCATTGCCTAGTCATTGGATCGCATCCCAGTGGCTTAATGGTCTACGAGATCACCAGCCTCTTAACCAGAAGGTCGTCGGTTCGAACTCCGTCAGTCGGTGGGTGCGTACTGCTGGGGAGTCGCAAACTAGGACAAAACAGCTGTCCAGTAGTCCCTACAAGTTTTCCAATGATTCTCTAACTGATGTCAGCTCATGATGAAATTGCTTAAACCAATCTAACAAAATCCCTACAAAACCAACACTTGAAAATCAATAATTATAAAACATTTTTGTTACATTTACTATTACCAGCTGTGCTAGTTGTAATGTATTTTTAGAGAAACCATGAAATAACATCACCTGACAATATTTTTCTTATGAATGCCTTATTTAAAGAACTATTTTCACTGTACAAAATTATACTATATAAAGTTTTCAAAATGCCTAAAAATATGAGAATAAAACAAAGAACTAATTCATTCCAGTTAACCTAAAGAAAAGCTGAATCGGTTTGATAAATTGCCGGGAAAATATATCTGTAAAGTTAAATTTCAAAATCAAAAATGTATAGCTTAAAAAACAGATGATTCATAATGCTTCTTGTCTAAGCCACTTCTTATCAATTTTATATTACTCACTACTCATAGTTAGGTTTCAAAGTCAGTAGAAAAAGAATGAGAACGGAAATATGGCGTACTCAACTGACTAACCCCTAACAAGCAAGCAAATGTATGCATATATCAAAAGTACTCTGGGAAAAAACCTAAAGTAAACACTATATCCACCAATAACTGCAGGATTTCGCTAATAATACTTCCTTCAAGCTTTAATTAACTACTTAATTAGGTAGTTACCAAAAATCTTCATTCTGTGTATCCTTTCTTTGTTCATTTTGTTTTAATCTATTAAAATATGTATTTTATTGATATAAGTATTAAAAACTTGGGCACTGTGGTACAGTATAACTCGCGAGTCTTTAAAATGCTTACAAGGTGCAGGTTTTTCAGTTTCCACTAAACTTGAGGAAAAGCATTATAAAAAGACACGTAGACGACATATATTCATTATTTGTGACAACAACAATGACTACAACATGCTGCTGAAGACATTTAACTGTTGCCATCTATCAATAAAATTCACTCTTAAAATGGAAAACGAGTCAAAAATTCCCTTTTTTGATGTGGAACTAACAAGAAGAACTGAGGGGACTTCAAGAAGACCGATCCATAGAAAAGCTGCTTGGAATGGTCAACTAACAAGGTTCTATAACTGGGTACCCTTTCAACAAAGGCGGTATTTAATTAAAGCACTTGCCACCCACATTCGACGCATCTGTAGATCCGATGTTTTAGAAACAGAGATAGATCTTCTGAGAGAAATCTTCATCCAAAATGGATACCCAATAAGATTCATTGACAAAAATATCAAACAAAGAATTTGGAGAAATGAAACTTCACTTGCACCTAAAAAGAAACTCTACATGAACTTGGAGTACAAGGGAAGTTTAACAAGCGATATTCTCAAGAGAAGGATCACATCATCTCTGAGAAGAACATTCTTCGCAGTAACGCTAAGAATAGTGTTCTACAGTCCCCCACTGATCTGCAGAAGACTCAAGGACAAGATCCCACATCTGACCACTAGTATGTGCATATATCAGTTCACCTGTTGCTGTGGAGCCAGGTACATCTGTCGTTCGACGCGCATTCTATCCACTGTGCATCGGTGGCACAGTAGTTAGGACTCTCGCTGACTATGTAGATGGTCCGGGGTTCGAGCCTCTACCGATACACACATGATATCTATGGTCGGCCTGCTAAATTTGGGCTACCGATATCCATGCTGAAAATTCCATACTTGTACCAAAAATATAGTGTGGAATCAAGGTGTAATTAAAAAAAATATTGTTTCATATTATTCTTTTAACAACTGTGTGTGACAACTCATCACCTTTGTTACTACTCTAATTTCATTAACACCCAATTTTCTTGACCGATTTTGTATTACGTAACTCCAATTACCAATCTTCACCTGTTTACTTAAAATAACCATAACTAACTGTATTTCTGTTTGACAAACTTAATTTACACATACATACAAAACAACCATATATATTTGCGATTGTACAGCTAAGAAAATGAATTCGCCGAAAAGAGACTCTTCGCTGATCTGTGTTTTGTTTTCATTAATACCTGGATGGGGATTATTTATGAATTAAAAAACATTATCATGAATGATAACGTATCTTAATACATGAGACAACTGTACGTGAGTTATGTCCTTCGGTCTCAAAATGTATTCATGAACTTTTTTATAATTAGTTTTCAACGAAATGTCATGCATTTCTTGAAGATGACAAAGAATAAATATCGTAATGGATTGGTTTCCACTTCAGAGCAGACAGCAGTATGTCACACAATCTACTCTCAGTTTATATTTTATTTGAAAATGTTGAACAAAAAGAAAACATCATGGAATAAACTTCGCTGAAAATACTGTACATCATATAAGAACTGTCCAGAATAAAGCTATTATTATTGCTATTTCTAAAACAAGCACTAGTAACTATGCCAACTGGTGTTAACTAACAATTTTGATATTGTTAATATGAAAAACATACTAAATAGGAAAGAATTTACATAAAGAATTCGAAAATGCTCCGTGGAACTTATCTTTTTATTGCTTCAAGTAACTGTATTATTCAGAACATTTAAATCACTCGGAAGATGTGTTTGAAAACAATATTCATGAATAATTCCATTCGAACATTAGTAAACAGAAGACAAGTAGTTCAGCGAAGAGTCTCTTTTCGGCGAATATATCTCCAAGAAAGTAGTATTCATTTGAACGGTAACATAAAGGTTGTGTTTTTTTTTAAAAAGCAGACGTTTTCTTCAAGTCAGTACAACACACTTATTTAAATGATTAACACAATAGATATCTCAAGGAAAATGCATTTTTACAGCAACAAGGAGTATTTCTTGTGCAGTTTTCAGTATTTAGATATTGTTAGTGTGCAAATGCAGCACCAGATGGTACACTTGTTCAAGAGGGATTTTTAGACTAAGGCTTCAGAATAGCCGTACGCGGTCACATAACAGCAATCCTTGATAAAACCTTCATAAAACAAGTTCACACACAAAGTTGGCATGTGTTTAGCAACGGTAATTCTGAATATTCATCTTTATTGCTACATCTGTTTAGTCCTTCCCAGCCTATTGAAGAAAAACTTTGTTACACTAATGATATCAGTATAAAACTTGGGCACTGTGGTAGAGTATAACTCCATTATAGATGAGATTTTATTTTGATAAATTACACAGTGTTATAGAATAATATTAACTAATGACCATGTTTCGAGCACAAACTATAGCTCATAATCACATTTAGTCGTTCACACACTACGTAGGTCACTGAAAGCTGTAAGAAGGGTGAGTGCAGTATCATTAGGCCAACTTGCTAACACTGATGTATATGGGCGATTGCACTAACATAAGAAAATGAATATTATCATGCATTTTATCACACAGGCGGTGAAACGGTCGAAGACGAGAAACTTGGTAGAGAAATGTTCGTATCTCTATATAGCCAAATTATGTATACCTTATCTTCAACGCACCATTTGCACATATCTTCCGTAGTGTGCTACATCTCCGCTTTAGATTGTGTTTCTTTGTGTTCTTTTCACGTCTCCCATGTATCTCCACAACGTTGTATCATTTGCCTTCTCTGAAATAAAATGTATCTCCCTGCTATTTGCTGTTTTTCTACCGATGAACGTCTTCTTATATACTACTGATAAAGCTTATCAGTAGCATTCGCCGCAGTAGGACTATGACTAGAAGATTTTATGCTCGGACGACTAACTGTAAAGATTCTACGATACCTTATTTGACTGACATACATTTTATATGATAAGAAAAGTGGAAGGCGTGACACTACCAGCTTACTACGAAACACTACAAGAACGGTCCTCCTTATTTTTCCTTTCATTATTATAATGTTTGCAATATTTCCAATTAAATTTTAATTTTATATTCATATTCTTATCTAACAATGTTATCAGTGTAAATGGCCTGTTTAATTGTTTATCCTTGTACTTTATAAAACGAAAATTAGATGCAATATTGTAATACATACTGAAAATTACATATTGGTAACAAAAGCACTGTTAGGAATATAGCCATTGCATATTATTATTATCGTCATTAAGAAAGGCTAATTTCGAAATCCCATAAACATAACAAGATGTTTTAAATAATAAATGAATATGTGAAATATATTTAAAAGTAGTATACAATAAAACAAAACAACTAACCAGAAGATGTTCAAGTAAATTTGTTTTCTGTTGACCAGTCAAGTTATTTGATAACTTTTTAATAAGCTGAAATTAGACAAGGAAACAACAGTGAATGTTAAGTAAGTTGGGGATAACAACATAATCAGTACTAATGAATAAAAGTTATTTCAAAAAAAGGAAAACCTTCTTCAGAGTATACTCTATGCTCAAAACAAAGAGAATACAATATCTACTGAACAGAACTTTATTTGAATTACTTCAGTGTTTGAATTTTACTCAGTAAGGATGATTCATTGCCGAATAGCAAATGGGCTAGAGGAAATCTAGTTGATGAATTTGTAAATGACTGATATGCAAATAAGCATCGTGGCAGGACCATCCTGTGACAGTTAGTTGATGTGCAACTGCTTTAATTGTTCTATCTGAACATTCTACCAAACAACTCCCTTGTAGATGATGCAGAATATTGAGTTTGCGTCTCTCAGATCGCGAAAAAGAATAAGCCTGAGCTACCACTCCTTGGTCAAAGTGTAATGTCACTACAGTGCCATACCATGCTACCATGCGTTGATGAACGCTTTCGCTACGGCAACTATATCTTGTTCAGGGATTGGTACCCCTTCCTACCACTTGGTATAATTATTGGCCACGACCAAAATATGTAGGTAATCATTTCTGGTTACTGGTAACAGTCTTATAACATCAATTCTCACACATTGGTATGCTCCTGGCATAAACATCATGTCCAAGTTCCTGGTGTATTTGTAACACGACATATTGCACTTTTGACTATGGGACGAGGTGTTTTAGCTGGTTCAGTTAAATAAGGCGGCCTGCTTAAATCATTGGGCTACCGAAATTACTTTCCTCCGAAATGCTTAATTTCATCTGGATTTATCAATGTTTTAATCGTCCAGTTATATCAAATGACCTATACATAAACTTGCGCGATGATTTGACTTGCTCCCAAGTAAACGCTGTACAATTCTTCGACGAAATGAAGATATACTCCAGATTATTACTTTACATGTGAATCTGTGTGAAGAAAAAAGTACTTTGGAACTGAATAGCTGAAAATTTTTGTGCCGTATATTCGCATACTGTCTTAAATAAAGCTTTACCATTATTATTATTACTATTATTATTATAAAGGATGTCCCAGCTTGACACATATATAATGTGACACGAGTGACAGTCCTTCATTTTTCAACTCAACAGTTTGTTATTCGTATTCATAAATATTTGAGAATCAGAATCAACTGTTTGAAGAGAAGCCCAGTGAATTTCATCAGTGACAATAAATAATGTGTTCAGTGCCCCAGTGATCCCTGGAATACACCATAAAGCAGTTACCTGAAGGTGTACATCCCCTCCCGATGTTCACAGCTACTGCAACTCTGTGATTTTTCCTCACCTTAAATTTGCGTCCCAACAGATAGTGTCGAAAATTATTTAGAAAGTATACAAAAGACTAACATCTCTTGACGGATCGTAAAGTAACGGAGAGTAGCTTTTATCTACAATGATCTGTTATCAATGTTTATCCCTACATAACCACAAAAGTTGATACAATGATTTTTTTTGTTCCAAGTTAATACATTTCCCTAAATCATAAATAGAAACAGAAAACAGAAGCAATTAAACTGTCAACAAAAAAGACATAAATAGTGAGTCTAAAAACTGACTTTACACACTTAACTACAAAAAGACAAAGAAGAGAACAGACTAGGCGACCAGAAATAAGTAAAAAGAAAGCCCATCATACTTCAATTGTCAAGGGACTAAATCAATTGAAATGTTAACAAAAAATTTCGTCTAAAATTCCCATAGCCTCAAAATGACAACACACACGCACAGCATACATTGTTCTTATCACAGACACTAAACGCAAAACCATCACAGAATTATTCTGCATAGACGTGCATTAGACTAAGCTGACAAACACTTTGGAAAAAATAACACATGAAAGAACGGTACAGAAATGGAAAAATAGTAGAGTCAAAAGACTTGAGTACGGGAGAAAGAATAACTCAACAAACATATAAGAGAAAATGTTCACAACTCTAGGGGTTAAAAGTAAACATGTCTGTGATATTGGAAACGATTTTAAGCCATTTTTTATTTATTTATTTTTTGATTACAGCTTGATTCCACACCGTAAATTTTTGATACAGGCATAGAATTTTCAGCATGTGATATCAGTAGCCGAAATTCTGCAAGCCGACCATAGACATCGGGTGTGCGTCGACAGGGAATAGAATCCCAGACCATGTGCATGGTCGGCGATAGTCCTAACCACTGTGCCACCGACGCACTGTTGTTAAGCAGTTAAAACCAATGATTCTTAGAATTCTGGAGGCCGCAGCCAAGCAACTTACATCTCTCTACATGATTCAGACCGAGAGTCGATGAGATCATGAGCTGAGGGCAAGTCTCAATCTAACACCCTTCGATTTTTTCTAACCAATTTCTTCTTCAACGCGTATAACACATGTTCCAGATATTTAAACTGACAGAGATTGCCGACTTCATCAATTACCTTACGTTTCCTACTTAATGCATTACCTAGTTTTACCGTTACTTGAATTGTGAGAGAAGAAATGGAGACAACTGCTGACAGTAATCAGTTGTCTTTTTATTTCCTCTCCTTTTATCAGCCGTGCATCACAACAGTGAAGTAAGACAGAATGGAGTGCTAAATAATACAAATACCTTTTGAAAGATATCGGTGCCCAAATGTCGCGTAAACAACACATTTAATTCAAGAAATATGGCATTTCTGTAAGGCACAGAGCTATCGATGAGTGAAGATTTGTGGCATATTCCCAATTTGAAACCTCTCAGATATTTTCCTACTTGTCTTCCTACAAGTCACGTTAGTTATCATATAACTATGGACTCTACAATTGTAGGCACCATTCCAGTGGTTATCACAGGATTTATGTAGTGCGATTACTAGACTGATGGTAAAGATGAACATGCAGTATTGGATGACTGTGTTTTAGATGCTTAGTTCTTATTTACTCTCACATACTACATTCAATGAACTGAGACTTGGTATCAATCTACAACGTCCTTGAATGTATATCTAACTTACCCAGGACAGTGGAGGTTTTTTAGTTGGGGTCAAGATAACCGTATACGACTGTAAGGGCCTCTGAGAAAAAATACAGTTGTTTATCGCTTAATAAAGATAATGCATCCATATCGAAATAATGTATATTATCATTAACTTGGTCTTGGCCTCTTCTTACGACTGCAGACATTATTTTTCAAACATTAACTTCTAATGTGATATAATGATGAAGTTTGGTAACCTTGACCGCTTAGTCCAAAGTGCAAAATGAATAAAATCTAGCTACTTCACGTCATGCCGTGTACTACTGATAAGATTTACAAGTAGTATATAGATGCAGATGTGTATGAAACGCAAGAATACAGAGTAGCGGAGAGATAGATTTAATGAACAATGCTTGTGAAACAGTATCAAGAACATGAAAGGAGGACGAAGAAGCACTATACGAATTACAAAGCAACACAATCCCGAAGGTATGTACAAATCGTGATTTTAGTATATGGTAGACGATTTTTCGCCAATATCTGTTTATCGATTTGCCAATAAATAATTCTATTAACGAATTTTCTTGTCTTCTGGTGTTACACTGTAAGGTCCCACAAACGAGATTTTGTTGGAAAAATACTTATTCACTCTAACCAGTTAGTCTTTATCTATAGAAATGGTTTTTACGCCATTGTTGTTCACTTATTTCCCTTCAAAGTGTATTTAATATCCATCTTCGTTATTTTACCATCAAGAAAAAAAACATTTCTGTGTCTTAATCGCAGCTTTATGAGAAGTTTCACGTTGTTTTGTTTGCCTGTACTATTCATTTTAAGTTTCAATAAGGTTATTAATAGCACTATTTAAGGTAAAATGGACAAGGCTTCCTACCGATTGTCTCCAAACCATCTAATACCAACAATTCAAAGTGTACCGTTAAGGCGAGTCGCCTAGTGGAATAGTAGCCACTTTTCAAACTTGACTGATAGCATTCAGTCTACATCAAAGATAGGACTAGACACACACATTACACTAGTTACTGACTAGTGCGTCGATGGGACAGTGGTTAGGACTCTCGCCGACCATGCACATGGTCTGGGGTTCGACCCCCCACCGATGCACAGCTGATATCTATGGTCGGTCTGCAAAATTTGGGGTACCGATATCACATGTTGAAAATTCCATACCTGTACTAAAAATACGGTGTGGAATCAAGCTGTAATCAAAAATATCCAATACAGTTCTACAGGAAGTCAATCGCCAGCCCGAATAGCTGCTCAGTGGTAACGTCTCTGACTGTGGTACTTACTGGATGACGTGGATTCGAATCCCAGAAGGGACAAGAGTTGCTTCAAGGTAGCAGATACACCTTGCTGAATGGTGAGTGCTAACTAGCACGAAACCTATGTCAGATAGGGCTTCCTGGCGACTGCCTCCAACCATCTAATGCCAACAATTCACAGTGTAACGTGATGGTGAGCCATCTAGGTATGTTGACCACTTTGCAAACTTGACTGACAGAATTCAGTCTATACCAAAGACGGGACTAGATACACTACACGCTCGTTACTAACTAGTGTGCAATTAAAAAGTAAAATGAACAACTTAACCGTAATTATGAGGTTATTACTATTATCCAAACTTCTACAATAGATAGGTTGTTCTATGCGTCTCCTGACAAAATACGTTGAAGAAAACCGCTTACAGTTTGAATAGAAAGAAGTGGTGGAAGTGGTTCTCTCGGAAGTCCTACAATCAAACATACACCTGATCAACACTTGTTATAACACCTAAACTAACTCATCACTTAGGGAAAAAACCTACACACAAAACAGTATGCTTCCGACACTTTCACAATGCAGAAACCGTCTCTATATGCATGGATACACAAGAGTTATGCATACAAAAGAAGCTCTTTCAGCCTTTTTTTTACACTTCATGAACATAGTTTTGCATAGTTTTTTTTCTCAATCTTTCCTTTCAACACATGGTTTCTCTACCATTTTCTGCTACAAAACATCCA